CATTTTGGGCTACGGAGATTCATCAGCAAGCAAAGAGGCCTGTGCTGTAAAAAAAAAAAAAACACACATTTTTATAATCAGGCACGTCAGCGGGAAATAAATCTGCCTCAATAAAACTCCAGTTTGTGCTTTTATTTTCTCAAATTGGTTCCTGTTTTTCTTTTTGGGTCATCAGAGAGCTGAGTGTTGGCTCAATATGAGTGGGTGAACACACACACAGACACACACACACGGACACATAAAAACACACACAACTACACACACACACACACACCCACACACAGACACGGACACAAAACACACACAAAGATCACGTGACGCTACTCACTGCTGAGTTCAAGCAGCAGAGCGCAGAGTGTGTAAACAGACCATCTGAATCAATTCTAGACTTTACACCGCTGAGATCATTCATAAACTTTAAACTTATCAAATCAAAAAGTGTATGTTCAGGGGCAACTGCAGATTTTTTAAAACATGGTCAAATACTCTTAAGTGTTAACTGTAGATTATGGACTTATATACATTGATTAATATTAAATAAAATAAAACATAATGACTCCTATAAGACTTCTCCTGAGAATGAACAATTAGGCCGATTAATAAACACTGTAGCATTAAAAATAAATGCTTTTAAAATATTTATAAAAAATCACCTTCTAAGATGAACTTCTGAAAAAGAGATGGATACTCAATAAAACAATATATAATGTTGTATCTAATACCTTCTTTATTATAATTCTAAAAATGTATAAATCACCCATAGTGTTTCAAATAAACCTGTTTTCAAATCAGCCTCAGTTAGAGGTCCAGAAGAGCAAAGATTATTTTATCAATACAAAAGTATTGTATGTTCCGAATAAAAAGAAATGATATGGATACTGTAGGTAACCCAAGATGATCATCGCAAAGTCTGGTCTTCACTCAGAATCTTTCTGTTCACCGTCAGTTAAAAGAAAAAAAGCAGAAAATATTCTCATTTTGAAAGTTGCAAGCACATTATAGAGAGGCACTTTTTCTTTCTGGAAAATACAACAGAAGACTAATTCAGATTTTCAAATAGTTATTGCTTCATTTAGTGTTTCAAACAGTCGATAAATCATTGCAGTTGTTCTAATGAAAGTACTATAAAATCTCTAAGGTCTAATTTTTTTTTTTTTTTGGATGAATCTCATAAATGTCCAGAAAGGTTTAAGTAGCCAGGAATTATACTGACGGGAAGTTCTGGTGCAAGGAGAGCAAATCGTGATAATAAAAGATTGATTAAAATATTACAAAGGTCGTTTACGTCCATTATTGGGAAAAATAAAATTAGAACAGCAAGTATGGGAGACATGAAATACCAATGGAAATCACTCATACAGCTTACATTTAAAAAAGGACATTTTTAATCTACCAAGCTGTACTGTAATTAATGTGAAAATTGTTTATTTCTACGTTTAAAGTTGATTTAGTAAAACGAACCTGAATTGAATGGACGAGGCCCTTACAATAAGAGGTAACAGTATTTATGTCCTGCATGAAGGGATAAAATACTGTCAAAGTTTGATGTAAAAATAAAAAGTAAATAAATAAATACTGGACCTCTAATCTGCATGGGTTTGAATTTTGAACATCATGTTAAACAGTGCAGTGAGCCACATTTTATGTACACATCATCAGGCAGAAACTCTGCTTTGGGTTATTTCATCCTTTTAATCGACTTTAGTTTCTCTGAAAATAAAACAGACGGACAGTAACGAAACAGACAGTACAGACTTCATACAAGTGAACGCACACTAGTGCCAACAAAATTTAAACAAAGTTACCCTTCCAAACATTTTTTCTTTTCTTTTTCTTTTTTTTACAAAAATCCAAATGGAAAAAAAAGTGACAGATTTAAAAAACACTGAGCCTGGATCAGTCTGCTTCTTGTTGGTGCTGTTTGGGTAATCTTAGAATCCGAACATTTAAATATGATTTCAATTAAATGTGCCTCAGTCAGACCCGCTGGACTGTGTGTGCTTCATGTTGATAATAATGTGCTTCTTTCTCTACTGGTTGACCCAGTGTCATCATGTGTTTTAGCTTTGTGTGTGTGTGTGTGGGGGGGGGGAGTGTTGACAAGGTCAGCCTCATTTTGGGCTTCAGGAGGATTTTATTTAGGTCAGAGGTTATATAAGTTTTTTGTTAGTCCTACACTGTAAAAACATAACCTATTAAAAACAGTGGGAGAAAACGACCAATCAGGAGCCTCCGTTTTGCTGAAAAACTACAGGAAGTAGGCTTTTCATTTTCAAAATCCTTTACTTGAATACATTTAAATTAAATCCAATGAGCAGATATTTTACAGTGTTAAGATGATTTGTTTTATTAATCATCCATTATCAGGTGTTTTTTAAATAGTAAACAATTCAATGCTAATTCAAACTTGACTGTAGCCTTCACCGTGGATCCAAATTTCTTTATTTAACGCTTTTATTCCATTTAAACTGTAATCCATATTCTAAAAAAATGCTGTATTCAAAAAATTGTCACCGTATCTATAGCTTCTTGTTCTCATCGGGAGCTTTTGTTTGGTTTATTTTTGCAAAGACAACATTTGTGTGATCCGGATTGTGTTGCAGAGCACTGACAGCACAGACTTGAGATCTGAGGAGGATGGACAAATCAATACCAATACCAGCGATCAATACTTTGACAGTCCAACATAAAATAAAATGCTTTTCAAAAGACGACTCAAAATGCTCATACAGTCGCACAACTCAGCATTTTGTCCATTTTATTTGATGTTTTTTGCCCTTCTTGTCACGATGATGATTTGAGGAGAATTCAAAAAAGTTCTTTCTTAATCACATTTTTTATCTTAAACGGGTGAATAAAAATCTGGGCACCATGAACTGTACAAAATATTATTAATTAAGGATTTTCTTCTTCAGGTCAAATTACCATAAAAAAAAAACTTGATTGTGGTGAAAAGACATCTAGGTGTTTAAAAAAAGAAATTCAATGTTTATAAATTTTTCTAATTTAAGTAAAACGTCTGGTTGTAAAATTCTGGGTTTCAAATAAGAGAACAATCTGCATGAGGAATGTTGCAGAAACAACTTTTTAAAGAATATTTTCCTAAAACATGAACAAAATTATTTAACATTATTGTACCTGTGATTTTCTTGAAATAAACACTTCCTAGTTGTTTTATCACCTTAACCGCGGTGTCGGTCTTATGGCCATCAAAAATTGATATCGGTATCAGGTTTAAAATGGCGGCACATCGTCACCTGCTGAGATCAGCTGATATATGTTTAAGATGCCCTTGAATCCTCTTACGAAGCTTTAAATTCCCAATAAATAAAAATAAATAAAGTCATTAATTGCACATTATTGCAGTTAGCTGTAAACCTTGGTGTGCTCATTATTATTATGCCTATTATTTAGCCTTTATTTTTGTCATCTTTATAGAAAACGGGTTAATATTCCAGCTCCTCTGAATCCTAAATACTTTTATCTAATAAACAAGCAGTCATCCAATTGTTAAAAAAAATGGTCTACTTGACAATTGGGTAATTTGAAAAAGATGGCCGTGAGATGCGATGACGTGAAGTTTACTTGTTTTGTGTCAACCCTCTATTTTCAGTCTCAATACCCTACAGCCTCAATTTAACTAAAAAAATATATATATTTCCAAACCATAGTTCCATGTAAGAGACGCACGGTTTTTCCCTTAAATCCACGGCAGTTTTGTTTGTGTATTTGCGTTTGCATGTTTCTCTATGTTTGTGTCGTATGTTTATGTGTTTATGTGTAATGCAGGGCCTGTTGGTCTACTAGGAGCAACTCGGGATTTTTCCCATTTAACAGAAAAAAAAACTGCTCCATGTGCAGAGGCCTCTACCCTCTGCGCTCCAGCGCTCACTGACTAACTTTAAAAACCAGAGCGGCTCAGCGGGCCATAGAATTGAGGCGGATAAAGTTTTTTCAATTTCTTTTTTCCTAAGATTATCAGGCGTGTTTGTTTGGCCTTTGCGCACATGCGCAGGAGGTTTTACGTTCGTACAGGCCTGTAATCACACATACACACACTCACACACAAACGTGCACACGTAGGCCGTTACAGACATAATACCACTGTGTTAAAAAAAAGACAATTGGGGCTCTATGAAGAACAAAAAACACACAAAATGTCATTTTACAGCTCGTCGTTTTTGCATAATTCTTCACATGAAGAGTTCAATTCCAAGTACTTTAATATCCGTGTATTTATTAGCCTTGTAGCTTAACTACAGGTCCGCCATGTTTGAATTTAAGCTTAATTTAAGGATATTTTGAAAGGAAACTCTTCACAGAGAGAAGTTCTGATAGCATCATCATCATCATCATCATTAGGCCTGCCCGGGGTCAAACCTGAGTAGAGATATGATTTGTAGGCTTATTTTTCCTCTCAATCCCCCCCTGATTGTATATGCTGATCTAAGGCTTCATTAATTCATTATTAACTTTTTCCTACCAAGAAAAAGCTTTGATTGTCTTTTTTTTCTCATTGATTGTCTTTAAATTCATAAATAATTATTAACCCTGTATGACTTATTTCACCCCCTCCCCATTATCGTCAATACTGATGAGTATACACTGACAAATAGAATTTAAATACATTGTACAATAAATACAAAACATAAATAAAAGACTCAAAGAATGAACTGAAAATCTTTGTACAAGATATAAATAGCATGAAATATAGTTAAGTGTTACCTTTGGCAAGTCTAGTTACAGTTGTACAACCCGCGGGTAACAAAGTTTGTCCCTTTTTCAGTAAAATGCGAAAAAACAAAAACAAAACAATACACCCGTTGCTCTTCGGGGAAGAATATGGCCAAAAGTTTCACTTCATATATATTTTTTTGCAATCCATGTTTGATATTTACCACTTATTATTCGCCCTTAGCATGACGTCTTGTGCGTCCTCGTCCCGGTGCCATCCATGGAGAGGTGATGGTGTATTCGGGAGAGGGAGGGAGGAGTTCAGTTTAGGAAAGCGTTTGGGGGTATACCCTCTTTTGATGGGACAGCATCCCAGGGAACCCCGCGGACACACCCGGGGAGAAGGCCGGTAAGGAGCTGTTTCTAAGGGAGTCTGTTAGCAAGGATTGCGGAGAGCTGCTGGGCGCCAAGCCGCCGAACCCCGACGCGCTGTGCTGAAGGTGCGACGGAGGTCCCCCTCCCGGTGGCCCCTGATTCGCTGCAGCAGCGTGTTGGCTTCCTGAGACAAAATACCCGGCAGTCTGTCCGGAGAGAAGCCCGACTGGCGACGTGTTCATACCGTAACTGTTCGACAAACCCAGCGCCCCGGCGGCAGACCCGCCAAGGATGGAGCGCCCCAGGTCCCCGTTACTCAGCTGCTCCACGGCGGGAAGAAGTGACCCGTAGCCCGCAGCCTGGTTCAAAAACCCGGGAGAGGAGCCGTTGTAGTGTGGGTGGTGGTGGTGGTGGTGAAGAGAGAGAAAAGGAGAAATCTGCCAGTAGAGCGGGTTGTTCGCCCGCTCGTTAATCCCCAAACCGAGAGGAGCGAAGCGCAGTCCGCGCTTCATCGCCAGCTTGCCCCTGGAGGTGGCTGAGCGCCGCCGGAGTTTCCCGGTAGTCCCCCCAATGAAAACGTCATCACTGCTCGGGTCAAGCATCCAGTAGTTCCCCTTCCCCGGGTCGTCATAGTGCCGAGGGACCTTGACGAAACACTTATTGAGACTCAGGTTGTGTCGGATGGAGTTCTGCCAGCCCTGCTTGTGCTCTCGGTAGTACGGGAAGTTTTTCATGATGAACTCATAGATGCCGTTTAGCGTGAGCCGCTTTTCGGGGCTCTGCCGAATTGCCATCATGATAAGAGCGTTGTAGCTGAACGGAGGCTTGTCATATTTCCCGTTTTTACCATTATTACCGTTAGTATTCTGCTCTGATGTCGCCTTAGTGCCATCCCCTCCTCCGCCTCCCCCTCCACCCTCCTCCTCCTCTTCCCCCTGCTCCTCCTTGCCGGGTTTCACCGGGTCCAGAGACACCGCTGTGGAGTCCACCTCCGGAATATCCAGTGACTTGTCAGAGTCGGAGCCCGGCGAAGGAGAGAGCGTCCCGGGGATGCCGGCGACCGCAGCGGCGGCGGCAGCAACGACTGAGTCCGGTCTGTCGCACTTAGAAGGCAGCAGGAGGCTCTTAATGCTGAAGGAGGATGACCGGTGGACGGTCGGTGGGTCTTTAACATCCTCCATGCCCGGTGGCGGGTTTCCCAAAGACGAGGAATAAATAATAAGTAAAAAAATAACAACTACAACTCCAAGCTCGTCCACCTCCGTTGTCCTGTCAGGAAACGAAAGAGAGACGGAGAGGAGAGAGAAAGGAGGGTCAGGATGAGAGATGCATGGATAGAGGAGTGGAGAGAGATACCAGAAACAGACAGAGAGAAAGAGAGAGAGAGGGGGGAGAGCGAGAGAGCGTGGCTTGGATGAGGAGAAATTAGTAATTAAGGAGGTTCCGACTCGCGGCTACATCACGGAGAGGAGGAGCTTCTCCAACTTGGTGGTTTTGTCAATAAATCCTCTTTTCTGCTTCTTCCTTTCCGTCCTCCCGTCTTCAAACAGAGACCTTTAATGTTTCCAACAACACAAACCTGTCATTTTTAGCCGTCCTCTTTAATCGGTAACTACGCGCGTGCACCTTTCCCTAAATTTGTAGGAGTAATTGTTCCGTGCGTCACGCAGGCTATCCTCTATGCATGTGTGCGTAAAATCCCATTCTGAGTCTGTGCGTAAAAGCGCACGTCTGTCTGAGTGTGTGCGCGCCCGTGCTTGTGCGTAAAAGCTCACATGCAGGCAGCGAGGGCAGTCAGCCTCCCCGGCTTTGTTTTCTCAACGACAGTAATAGTTTGAATTCATGTCGGCAAACACTGCGCGTGCACGCTCTTTGCGTCCGTCCGTCTCTGTGTGTGTGTGTGTGTGTGTGTGTGTGTGTGTGTGTGTGTGTGTGTGTGTGTGTGTGTGTGTGTGTGTGCTTTATACGGGGAGAGATGGGGGAGGAGGTCGGAGGAGGAACTGAGCGCGCCGCTATTGTCTACTAATAAAATCATTGTGCCGGCAAACACAGACTCACACACACACACACACACACACACACACACAGAGGATGCAGGTCTGATGCTGTAACCAGAGCGTCTCCTGTTGGTAGCAGACAGTACTGCACCAAAAGTAGACCTTTTAACATCTGAAAAGTAATAATTATTTTAATTGGTTACTAATACGACTACTATTACTAATAATAATTTCAATAATAATAGTAGTTGTATTGAGGCTTATTATCTTCAATTGCTTTCCAGTACATACAGTCAAATATTCTGTTTATGTTTCTTTAGTTTGTTTTTACTGAAGCTTAATTGTGTTTAAAAAGAGACCAACCCCTAATGATTTTCCAATAATAATTTATTTTTTAAAATTTGACTCAAGTAAATAGGCTATTTTCATCCAGAATTATATTTCTGGATGTATGATCTCATGACTAATGTTTTGGTATCAAGCTCTGAAAAGATAAGAAAATAATAATTGTGCTTTAATAATTTTGAGCACATTTGTCACCAAATGTACATTATCAGTGTATTGCTGTGTTCCTTTAACATAAAAAGAAATCCCACTTAAAAGCCTGGTGCATAGGGAATTTTGAGATAGGCCAAACAAAATAAACAAACTGCATATCTAGAGATTTGAAACTCGTTATAAAAATGCTCTTGTTCGACCAATTAAATCTGCAGGTCTGTTGATTTCTTAAAATTGACTAATATAACAAAAAAAAAAACCTTTTCTCTTTCCAAATTGAATTTAACCTTTTAAATGAAAGACTGATTGACAGACGCGCTGCGTGAAGACGAAATGTGATTAACATCTATGCGCGCACTACAGGCCATAACCATCAACACGTGATTCTTAAAAGCTATATGAATCTATGCGGTCAGTTTCACTGATTCATTGACGCTAATGGTTTACGCTCATTTCAGTTCATCCATCACTTGTTAAATGCACCGCCCGGCAAGTTTGTGAAGTGACACAAATCAAGGCGAGGGCGCATGACCAGTCTGTGAATCATGCAGATATTTTGAGCGTCATGGTCAAACATGCTTCAAAACGAAGAAAGTTTGAACCTTGTTTCATTTTCAGGAAGAGGAGTTAACGGCGTCCTGTATGAGGTAAGCCTGTATGCGCGTTTGTGTTTCTGCAGCACGTGGTGTTTAGTTTTTGTCTGACATGATGAGGTTTATCTCTGCTGCAGGTTGTGTACCAATAGTTCAGCGTGTTTTTGCATTGTGTTCTGTAAGCTGTATGATTGAAGCGCTTGTTGCCTTCATTCAGTAATCAAACATTTTGTTGACATCTTACAATGTCAACAAAATGTAGAGAAACTGATCACCAAAATATGAAATGAAGCTACGCGGAAGTTTCAACAGATTTGAAGTTTGGAATAATTCAAAACCATGATAGGAACCTCAAACTAATTTACTAAAGGCCTTTTAACTTATTATGAACACCGGGACCCTCTTAGAGATCCGTGTTTATGGTCATGTAATAAGGCTCCATATAGAGGTCTTTAACTCTAGCACTTTATTGTGCTTCCATGCTGCATGTGGCACATCACAAACCACAGTAAGCCTGCAGCTCTCTGGGCCCCTGGAGATTTGCCCAGTTTATAATCCAGATATGGTTCTGCAGCCTGCTGGGGAGCCACAGTATTAATAGCACTTGTTTAACTAATAAATTACCAAATTCTTCCAAACATGACATTTAAAATACTGTTTAGACAGAAGTCACATCTCATCATATACACAAACCAGAGTTTTTCTTTCTTATTTTATTACTTTTCAATTTCATAAAGAGCATAATCCAGAGGTGCTTGACAAGACAGCTGCCTCAAATTAACTTTGTGATGGCTTTATTGAAATAAAACACACCTGAGTTGACTTTTCAATACATTCCAGCTTCAACCTCAAATGTTAAAAACAAAACTGATTCCCTGTCCTGTTTCTTTAAAAGAAAATAATTTTAAACATAAAAATGACATTTTTGGGTCTTGTTATACCGTTAAAAAAAGGCATATATACTTGTCACAATGACTTGGAATCCCAAGTGATGTGAAATAAGTGAGAGGTACTCACTAAAGGTGCTTGGCTGAATATTATTACTAATGTGCAGTCACATTTGCACCTAATCACTCCTCAAAGTGGGCCAATTATTTTCATGTTAATTTTTGATTTTTTAAAACAGAATCTCTTAACTCTTATGAAACTGGAAAAATACTAACATAAATTACAAGGAGAAAGTGATGAGTCAATTTATTCATATGATTATGATTACTAAAAACACATTTTCTCTTATTTTTGAGAAGATTTTCTATTTAACTTCTCGACACATCCATATCAGTCAAAATAATTAATAGCTGTCAAAACGTCACTAATCAAAACGTTTTAATGTGGCATTCCTCAAAATTCTTAAAATATAGTCCTTTAAATGTAGTCCGGTCCTTTAAATGTAGGCTGGATATGCATTTTGGATTTATTTTAATATTTCAAAGAACACATTTTAGAGACTAAACTCACTGACACCAACAGGACGCTCTGATCACTGTTTGTTTACACTAACTGCAGATTTTGTATGACAACAGAGCTGAAATCCAGATTATGCTCTCTCTCTCCTTTTCACTCACACACAGACTGACTGACAGACACACACACACACACACACACACACACACACACACACACACACACAGACAGATACACACAGGTCTGCCTCCTCCAATCTGCTGTGTGAAATCTCAGCTGTGATTTTGAGCCAGATGGTGTTTCTGTTTAACTGGATCTGAACCTCCAACAAAGGCTACGTTCACAGGCATGAATGCACTGGCTACTATACACACACACACACACACACACACACACACACACACACACACACACACACACACACACACACACACACACACAGAAATTCACATTTCCTACCTACATTTCCCCAAGTAGTGATGACATGCTTGATGGACAAAGTCAGTGTGTTAAAACGGCTGCTTTAAGGAGAGCTGTCGTGTGTCAACCACTTCAGTCTTTTCATTTGCTTTCTGTGTTAATGCCTTAAGTATTGATCACAGTTTGTTCTAAATGTTTATACTACTTAATGTGCTCTTACATTAATGATAATGAGCTTAACCTCTTTCAATAAGGTAAGCAGTCTGTCGGCTTGCAACGTAGGGGGAAATTCTATTTATCTTCATTACCTGCTTATCCTTTGCAGGGTCGTGACTCGTAGGTGGGGGGGCCTTGGGCCCATTTGGCTAGGGGACAGGCAGGGGTCAGCTTGGACTTGATAGGACTAACACACAGGTAGAAAAAACACATTTACACATTACACAAAAATATATTTACACATTACACATTTACACATTTACACAATATAAGGGAGTATTCAGGCTAAGAAAAGACAATGATTGAATTGAAATGTATTGCCTCATTTACCTCCCAGGACGTCTGGTTGGATAGCAGATGAGGAGTTGAAAGAATAGAGTGTTTAATATTATATAGAACTCTGTGGAGAAAAAATAGCTTACATCTCATCTGATACATTACCGCAGAGAACATTTCGAATTTCTTTTTTTTGGTCTTACTCACTAGTTGCAAGTCTTTTTCAACACAGCATAATTTTCATGTTGACACTTATTCTTATCATTATCAGGTTACTATGGATCTTAAGAGCTCGATAGTACAGCCGTGCTATTGGTTCAGTAATCTCCTTAGTGGTAAGTGACCAAATTGGAAGACAGTAGGAAATTGATGAAAACACAATTGCATGTAGGTACGTTTCAGAAACAGAGAAGGAACGATATGATCTGATCTTATTATGCACACAAAGTTTCTGACTCAGCTTAGTAGTTAGTTTAGAGGTGTGTTCACAGTATGTAAGATGCGAATCAGGTAGCACACCAAGATATTTGTAGGTCTTTCTGACGACAAGATCTTGGCTTGCAAAGGTGATGGGATCAGTGAATGTAATACATTTTCTGGGGGAGTGAAAGTACATACACTCAGTTTTCTTTACATTGATGGTCAAATTATCATTTTTCAACCAATCATGTAAGAACTGAAGATCAGACAATAATTTGGAATTCATGACATTAGGATTTGAGTCAGAGAGAAAAATCACAGTATCATCAGTATACAGTAAGCATTTCGAATATTTGC